AATGTAAGAGTACATTCTTTTAAAATGTTATTACTTTAAGGTTTTTTTTTTTTTATGAAGTCAAATTTAGCACAGTGAATCAGTCATATATATTTGGCTTAAATCTTGAGGACCAGCTCTGTTTTATCATCCCTCAAAGCATTTTTTTTCTGAGATGGATCAGCTCAAATTACTGTCTGCTAAGAAAATCTAATTCCCCTCATACACAATCATTTCAATATTCATATAAAACGTCACCTGTCTGAAAATACTTGCATAAAACTAGAACACCTAACTAAACTTCTGTGGGAGCAGATTGCCTTCAGACAGTTCTGATGATTTATGACTTACATGGTAGACTCCCTAGGTAAAAATTAACAGCTGCATGAAGAAAGTGTACCAGCAGAACAACTGAGCATTTATACATGTACTGCATTTATTGGGCAGTCATAGATCTATCACAGAATACAAATATGCAAACCCAAAACAGAAACTGGATAAGCAAACCAAGAAAACTCTCAATGACATAGGTAAGAGAGGACAGCTTGCAAAAAAAGGACAATAGCATATGAAAAGTTGTGGACCCATCCCTCCATGTTTTTATAGATGCCCAAAAATAGGCAAACCAGACATGGTACCCATCTAATTGTGTTGCTACCAGAAACCCCAACATACAACCTAGCCAAGAACTCACCAAAAAACTTGGGAATTACATAAATAGGAATGAACATATTATTAATTCACCATTACAGTATCTGCAGAAAATCAAAGGCTTAACAATTGAGGAAGATGAAATAATTCCCTTATTTTATGTCACAACACTCTACACACCCCTGGATCCAAAAGAATCCATTGAGGCCTTATTATATAAAGCACCAAACCTAGCCAAGCATACAAACATTTTAATACATAGAATCATGAAACTTAAGGACCTTTCCCTGTGGACTTACTTTCAGTCTGATGAACAGATATACAGAACAAACTAATCAGAGGAACCCTTATGGGAATCACCTATCTCAGGATTCATAGCAAAAACCATCATGCAACTTTGGGAAGCAACTTCCCTCCCACACATACAATCCAAAATATAGATTCTGTTATGTGTACAAAGCATTTGTCATAATCAAAAAAGGTAACATAGAGAACACACACAACACAATCAATAACATCTTGAACATTAAAAAACTACACTTCCTAGATATTCTTATCAGCAGAGGAAACAATGGCATGTATCTCAAAAAACAACACATACAAACCAAGAATTGCACTACCAAAGTGACAATCCAACTGCCAACAAGAAAAGCTGCATAAAAGAATTCTTTTCCCATCAGCAGATTACTTCAACTGCTAGACATTAGAGTGGCCCCAAACCAACGAAATCTCTCCAAGTATCTTAAGCAAACCCAAAGATGCAACAACCTAAGCATACAGAATGGAATTATTTACAACAAACAAGTGAGAAGACTGCGAAAGCCACCATGTAGGACAAACAAGGAGAGGATTAACAGAACACATACTGTGCATGAACACCAGTTAGCAGTCAGAAGACATGACGAATGTTCTTTAATTTTAAATTTTAATCATGTTTTATTTTAATCTAACACATACACACATTTAATCACAAATTCAAGTGGGAAACTGTAACCATTTTAGATCAAGACAAATCCCACAATGCAAGAGAATTCTCAGAAGCCTGGCATTCTGACAGATCAGCCATTAACAAACACATAGAGATAAACCTAGTCTATCACCTATTTAATGGGTGGGAGAATGTTCTAAAGAGTAGAAGTTGGTACTAACTAATTCTCCCTGTGATAGGAATTCTGCAGGCTAGTCCCATTGCTTGAAAAAGCTCTCTCTGGTTACTGTATGTCTAAACTTGAATATGGGCACATCTGGAAGGGTCTGCAAAGATGTGAAATGGAACAGCTGTGACTGGAATTTCTCAGCATAGCTTGCTACTTTGAACTCCTATTAGCCACAAAGGAAATACCATACAGTTATTTTGTGCCTGTATGCTTTTCCTTCTGCAACTTACAGCAGCTCTGAATGTGATTGAAACTGTGGGAGCCCCACTTCATTAGAGGAGGAGGAGGAGGAGGAGGAGGAGGAGGAACTCCTATTTTCCAGTCACGATCTAAATTGGGATAATTATACTATTGCATGCAGTATACAATAAATCTCATTCAACTAAAAGGCTGCAAAATAATCATCCTGCTGAAACAAATGTAGAACAGACCTGATCTATATAATCCTTGTGTTGATTCATTTGCTTAATTGCAGTAGTCAAGTCTTCATGGTCAGTGTGTTCTTGAGGAGTGTAAAGTCTAAGAGCACAGAGGAGAGTGATGTATTCTTCGACCCTCTTAGCAGGGCACAGCAGAAGTTCTTGTAAGCTACACAGCAAACACATACACTTAATATTTTGATTAGAAAAATAGCAGATAAGCACAGTGGTTAAAACAAATTGCCACGAGATTTAAAATGTAGAGCTAAGTCAACTAACCCATTTGGTAGGAACTACAACCCATTTAACTCTCTAGAATCTTATCTATAAAATCTGATGCTGTACAGATTGCTATGATCTGAATGCTGGATACATTACTATATTTTACTTTACAATGAAGATTGCTCTAATGTTCAGTGCTGCCATCATCACAACTTTAAAAGACCACAACACCAGATATGCACATTTCATAAATAAAAGATACCAGACAACCTGTGACCCACTGGATTCATGTTTCAGATATTTCCTTGCTTTAAATAGAATGGCCATGGGCAGGCAAAAAAGCAGGGAGAGCAGGAGCAACTTCCAACTTCTTGCTGGCTTCCTCATTGACTTTCCTTGTGGGAAGCTGGCAGGAAGTGTCAGAAATCTTCCTTCCTTCCTTCCTTCCTTCCTTCCTTCCTTCCTTCCTTCCT